TATATCGAATAATTAATCTATCACGTCAATCATTTATAGAATGTTTAATTATATATAGTTTTTTTTAAGGCTATGCGTCCTAAATGAAAAAAAATTAATTTTGAAGAAAAAAAATAACATAAGCTAAAGAAAGAAAGAAAGAAAGAAAGAAAGAAAGAAAGAAAGAAAGAAAGAAAGAAAGAAAGAAAAAAGTAAAATAGTGTTCTAAATCATATACACATATATTTTAATTATAAATGTGACCGTTGCTACATGAGGCGCGGTTGGTAAATGGTAAAATATATAAATGATATATTAGACTTATAATATTAATCTAAAAAAAATTATACTAAACCTACCCTCTATATGGCTTTATAGAGATATCGATTAGATATGGCATTCAGAATTTATTTTATTTTTTAACACTAATTATACTTTTAGAACCCCTTGCCAACATTGAGCCTCTTTCCATATCTGATACTTAACATATTAACTAACCAACTCCAACCTCTTATCTTATATGTATTTTAAGAAAGAAAGAAAGAAAGAATGAAAGACATAGTATTGGCAAAATATTTATTTACCAGGTTATTTACCTACTCTTGCATCTTGTATCATCTATTGAGAGTCAGAGACCTGCAGGCCCCGACCCTAAGCCAGGCTTGGCCCGTCGTATTTTAATTTTAAATTTAGCCCGGGCAGGACCTGAAAATTTTTTTACGATATCCGGGCCGTACCGTATATTTTAAAACCAAATATTTGAAATCGCCATTTTTGCTGTAAAAATCAAAAATATATAAACAATATTTTAAAAACATCCGTGCCGGGCCTGAAATTTTTCTTAATTAAAAACCGGTCTGGGCCGGGCCGTACAAATAGTATCTCTCGGCAGTTCTCTGAGACAAGTATCTGTAATACTTTTTAAATTCCAAAATAAAAAATGAATTTTTTTCATGATTTAGGTAAATGTTCGCTGTATTTCTTAGAGCTCAAGGATTCTTTCAACCCCGGCGAAATGTGGAAATCGCCTCACGACATTTGTATGGAATGTTCTTGCACGGCAGAAGATGGATTCATGCAAACGGATTGCAAAGAGTAAACTTCACGAAACATTTTATAAAATTTAGTCGAAAAATTAGTGTTTTATGGATCCTTCCGCGTGAACCAATTCACAGATAGCAGCTGTAAATAAAATGTTAGAGACCTGTATAATTTAAAATATCCTCTGAATTGAGATAAATTTTTTTTTCTCCAGCCCTAATGAATGAATAAATCTCATTTATTGTTACGCCTGCAAAAGTCGTAACAGTTAGGAAATATCGCCAACCATAGCAAAAATCATTTACTGATGAAGTCGCACTGCTAGAAATATATTTCTTGGGGTTAACCACATAATAAATAACTATACTAAATATAGCAAATTTTTTTTCTTTTTTTTATCACAAATTAGATTTATTTGATGCTTCTTAAAATATTTTTTAAATTTTAAAATATCCTCAAAATTGAGATAAATTTTTTTTTCAGCCTAATGAATGAATAAATCTCATTGTTGTGCGCCTGCAAAAGTCGCACTACTAGGATATATCGCCTGAACCAACCAGAGCAAATAAATCATTTACTAAGTCACACTGCTAGAAATATATTTTTTGGGGGTAATCACATTATAGCAAATATTTTTCTTTAAAATCACGAGACTTGTTTGATGTTTAAACATTTATAAATTTTAATATTATGATTTTCTATGTCATATGAAAGAGAATTGTATATAATTATATATAAATTACTAAATTTATATCTATTGATAGATATAGCTGTTAAAACTAAGTAAAGATTAAAATATCAAGGACTTTATTCATTTTGTTTATAGGGCTTGAAAAACGTAACTTAATCCAAATACCAAAACATTCAGGTTTTAAGATCAAAATTGATCTTTATATCCTAGAGAATTGTTGTACAGAAGTCCCAGCTCTGATAATAACCTGTATTTTTTTTTACTATAGAGTATTAATGGTGTTCAATAGCTTGTATTTCATGTAATCGAATAATTCTGGATATTTGAAAAACTCTTAATTACAATGTTGTGGTTTATGAATATATCAAGTTTAAGGATAATTCTGGCAGCATGGCTTGCACTTCTTGGCCTCCTATAATATCGATTCCTAGTTGGTTTTGGCGCTAAGATATCGGAATTATCTAACTAAATCTCAAACAATTAAGTATTTATATGTATAGTGTTGAACTCTATTGACTTTTTTTTTAAAATGTGCCTCTTAAAGTATTAGAATATTATCGTAATTTTATTCCTTATACACAAAAAAATTTTTTTGTTTCGAGTAGCGTCGGTGTCCTAGTCGGTTGAGGGATTCTCAATATTCTGCTAAACGAATCCATCTAGAATAATGTTTTTAGCCGACTAGGTGGTCACGTGATTATTAGTGGGCTCGTTATCATTACTAGGTCAAGCCTTTGCGACATTTGAAATCGACAGGCGATTTTCAGCCCTTGTGATATCTAGCAAAAAAATTAGTATTAATTATATTTATTTATTTGTCACGTGATTAGCCTAGAAATATTTCCTAGTCACGTGTGACACTTTTGCAGCCGCTCGGTGAGATAAAATCGAACCTACCAGAATGAATAAATGAATGAATAATTTTATACTCTAACATTTTACCTTTTTTTTTATATTTTATATTATTCGGTAAAACAGCTGTGAATTTTTATTGGCACCATGTATTAATACCGACAATCGGACATTATACCCTGATTGTTGCTCGAAGACCTGCGAATCCGACAAATCCCTAAACATCCTGGATTAATATTTTTTTATTGATTTAACTATTTTTTTATTGATTTAACTATTTTTTTGAAGATAAGTCACAATATTTTACGATATATATATATATATATATTACACGAATTCCCTCACAACAAAATAAATCTCATAAAAATGTTTATAATCTTTTCTTTCTTTCTTTCTTTCTTTCTTTCTTTCTTTCTTTCTTTCTTTCTTTCTTTCTTTCTTTCTTTCTTTCTTTCTTTCTTTCTTTCTTTCTTTCTTTCTTTCTTTTTTTTTTTCTTTCTTTTTTTCTTTCTTTCTTTCTATCAATATTACATATATACCAAAGACAAAGATAATTATTTCATATAATTGTAATTTAATTACAATTTAAACTTTCCAATTACATATTACAATTTTAAATATTTCAATTGTCTATACAAATATTATATAAATTATTTGGAATTAGTAGAAAAAAATACCAAAATTTTTTCGAAATAATATTCTTTTCAAAAGATCGATTTTTTGACTTACTGTCAATCATATACTGTCACGCATACTTAGAGCATTTCTGGTATCGCCTTAGCCTTATTCTTCCATATGCTAGACACGTGTGTATATAATATTTATACCATATTTTTCTTCGATTTTACTTATCATTGATTCAAATAAATTTCCACCCTAATTTTATCATTTCGAAATTTTCGTCTTCATAGAAAATTCCTAGATATGCAACCTATTAGGGACCCATTTATAGTGAACAGGATTTAACGCGCAACATCTATTCCCGCGGAAAGTAACGCTACGACTACGTTTATAGTAAACGAGTTATCTTAAAGCGTTGAGTTATTTAACTCGGCATTATTACAGCTGATTCAGTTATTAGTTGAATCGTGTCTCACATTTTTTTTAAATCAACGCATCGAAACATATGTTTTCCAAATTTTGTCAGCCATTATCATCGTTAACTCTCTCCATATTTATCATTTGCTATAGGAGAAAGAGGAGGGGAGGGGATATATCTAATTCTATAATTGCGCATGCGCACTGGAACTTTATGAAATAAGAACTTTATAATATATTGTTGATAATTAGAGAAAAATACAAACTTTATATCTTTTTTTTCTTTTTAAAAATTATGGTAATAGAATTCAATTCCTTTGTCGTGAAAAATTGGAGAACATCATATGAATAATTAAGATCCCCATTTTTTTAACCACTAATAAAAATATTTGCATTTTTAAAAATAACACGAACAAACATAGCCCATCAATGTGTCCCAAGCTGGAACCCCCCCCCCCCCACTTCTCCACCCCGGAAATAAAATAATCAGATGATTCTAATTTTATTGCCTTTCAGCCATCTTTCCCAAGTAATTCTTATTTACATGTAAAACCCCAGCTAACATGGTAGAAATTATCGCTTAGAAACAAAATACACGGATATTGAATTAGAAACAGTTATACCCCTCTCCTAGCGGTAGTAAAAAATTCTTAGGATCCATCCACCTGTAAAACAACTGCGAAAGGATCTGTTTACTTCTGTATAGAGGGCAAATATTTTGGTTGGATTTACTTGCAAAACAAAAAATAAACAAAGGTTAGCTGAAAGGAATAGAACTTACTTATGCCTCTAACAAAATCACGGGCAGATGTGTAATGTGGTTAGAAAAGATCCCGGACCAGACTACCCTGGATTCCAAGACCCCCAATTTTTCAAAATTTAAAAAAGATTCAAGCACTTAATTTTTTTTTTTACATTTCTAAAATTAGGACATTTTTGTCCGGTGTCTTCTCTTGGTCCTTACTTTTGTCGAGGACATTTGTATCCATGATTCCTATTAACCATAGGAGGAGAGCACATTAAACTTCATTTTTTCCGGAAGTAGATAAAAAAAACAGAGATTTTTTTTGAAACGCATTTATTATACCGATAAATAATTTCAAAATAGGAAAGAAAAATAATAGATCTGCCCTAATTAGACAGGTGTGCTCAATTTGTTTTGAGGTCAGTAAAATAATTCAATATTAAACTATAAAAAAAAAATACAAAAAAGAATGAAAAATTAAAATTAAAGACAATTAAACTTTTTTTTTCATTTGTAAAATTTTTTAAGAAATTTTTTTAAGAAATTTTTTGGAAAATTCTAAAATAGAATTTCTAAAATTCTAAAATGGAATTTTCTAAAAAAAAAAAGAGAATTTAATTAAAATCTTCTGACAATTTTTAAATTAAATTAAATTTTTAAAAATTTTAATCAATATGTTTCATTCATAATTAATTCAGTAAAATCACAAAAATAAAAAACAGTTTTATTTAAACAAATTAAACAATTAGTTTTTTTTTAAATATAAAAAAAACATAAAAAAAACTTCCCAAAATGGCGGAGTGCAAAAAATCTGCCGAATCTTGGATTCTACTATCGATTCTCACATATTCCGCCATATTCACTCATTTCTTCCAGAATGTCGTTACGGGTAAAAAAAAATTATATTCGTAAAACGCGATGACATAAAATAATACCTAGGCTGACGGAAGCGTCGTTGAATGGCAAATCAGTGGACACGCCATTTTGGTTCGTGTTAAAAAAACTAATATTAAATCGATAACTTGCTTTCTTATTATCTAGAGGATCAGAACAATCTTTTTGATAAAGTCTGCGCGTCAGACATAGGAATTACGGGTAACAAAAATGGCTTCTCCAGCTGTTTTTATTGTTGCACACTTTTAATGGATGCATCGTCAGTCTAGGTATTATTACTATGTCATTGGTAAAATGTTAGCTTTTTCGATTTTGTTTTTATTTTTCAGCCGGAAATGGTTTTTTAAAATAAGATATTCCGATTATGCTGCTGGAATAGCTGGAATGAAAAAAAAAATGTAAATTCCAGATTTAAGAATATCTACAACTCTCCTAAGAATTTTTTTAATTTTTTTTACTATTCATAAGTATAATTAATTTTAAAAAACTTTCCAAAATGGCGGAGTGTAAAAAATCTGCCAAATCTTGGAGATTCTCTTATCGATTCTAACATATTCCAGCATATTCACTTATTCTTTCCAGAATGTCGTTGCGGGTAAAATTCTGTATCAGTTTAAGTTTATTATATTGTAAAATGTTATAGCTTTTTGATTTTGTTTTTATTTTCAGCCGGAAATTGTCTAGAGATTAGATTAGGAATATGCTGGAACGAAAAGAAAATGTAAAATCCAGATATAAGAATACCTACATTCCCTAAAGAATTTTAGATAAATGACATTACGTATTTTTTCGGATAATGAATTACAAACATTTTAGATAATTTAATGACAATATAAAAAAAAATATTAAATAACGTCATTTATATAAAGGAAGGAGAGAAAGAAACAAAGAAAAAGAAAGAAAGAAAGAAAGAAGAAATAAAAGAAAAGAAGAAAGAAAGAGAAAAAAAAATGTAAGAATTTTAGAAAAATAAAATTTTTACAAAAAATTTCTATGAATTACAAATTTTTAAATCGAATTTTTTAAAATTATTTTACCAAATAAAAAACGATAAAAATGTCACATAAATTTTTGTTCTTTTTTTAAAAAAAAACAAACAATGGATTTAACTTGTCGTTAAATTTTGAAAAACTAATTTCTAATAATCCATAAATATTGAACAATCACTTCTTGTCACTGAGAAAGAAAGAAGGTAATAAGGAAAGAAAGAAGGAAGGAAGGAAAGAAGGAAAGAAGGAAGGAGAAAAAGGAATTAATTTGAATTTTTTTTATATAGAAAGTACAGAAATAGGACATAAAAATGAAGCGAACTTGACGACAATTATTTATTTACATCCGACGCTGTTGGTGCCTAAAGCATTTCTCACTTCCGGTAAATCTGATTCGGGTGCCGAAATCAGGAAAACAACTTTAGGTTAATATGTATAAATTAAATTTGTGAGGTTTTGTTTTTCGTAATTTTGTCCTTTACGACACATGGGTTTCTCCCATTTTAAAAAAACTTTTATTTTATTATTTGTAACCGAAGAATCATAATGATGTCAATCATTTAATTCTTAATTCGATGTTACATTCTACCAAAGATCATTCCATCAAAGATAGCCTGGATTTTGAATTAACCAGATCAAAATCTCCCACCATTTTAACGCCATCTGATTTGGGTAGCGGTTTAGAAATGGATATGTCGAACGTTTCCGAAAGTCATTCGGGAGACGCCACACATAATTTAACCGCCAAATATGGCTCTGGGAACTTGACTTCCGATTTGAATTCCGTTCCCTCGAGATGGAATTGGCTTTCGACTACCGGAAGTTCGAAAGGCGTCGATACTACGTCGTATAAGCAAGCCCACGAGGCCGCGTTGAACGTCACGATGAAGCGTATCACTTTGTCGAGCTATTCCTCCACAAGTCATTTCATTTTCGTTATTGTGTAAAAATTACGTATATACCTAGGTGGATAAGCCATCAATTTACTTACATTAAGAAAGTGCCACATAAATATTTTCAGTATCTATATGACAATGTTTTTGATAAAATATCCCTTTGCAGATCGTGCTGAAGATGGTGCCAGTATTCTCTGCAAATCGAACTGCTCGAGTAACGATGCTAACAAGACCGTACTTCTCCCCGCCAAAATTTTGACCATTCCGCGGAAATATTCCAATCTTACCGCGCATCGCGATTCCGTTCCGGCTAGTTCCACATCGGGAAGCGGCTTAGATTCTTTCATCACGAATGTTTAAAAATGAAATTAGCTATTTGAAATTTAGTAGTTATTATAAGTGAAATAGATGAGGAAGGAAATAAAATATAAAATCGAAGAAGATTGAGGCAGCGGGGGGCTATAACTGGAATTAGAGAGCGTACTAGCCCCCCCCCCCACCCCAAATAAAATAGGTAAGATTTGTATTATCATTAAAATTTTGTCATGAAAGCCACTATCGGGATAGCTGTCTTAAATGAAACAATTTGAACATCTTTGCAAAAAATAAAATAATAAGAAGAAAATATAGGTAAGAGTGTCAAACCGAACCTCTAGAACTTGCATAATTCAATATTTTCTAATTAACCTGAACAACCGATAAATTAAAAGAGGTAACCAAACCTTTACAACTTCAATAAACTGATCATCCATAGTATCGAAGATAAAGATATGTCGAATTCTATGTGTCTAAGTCGACATCTCAAACATGAGCTAGAAAACATCTCATACAAAATTGGCGTATAATTGAATCACGTGATAATGAATGTTTTACGATTAACAATTCCCCTTCCTTTCGATTGGTTCAAAACCAAATAGATTATCCTGGTCCTGAGGAAAATTTTTGAATTTTTCGGAATGAAAAAGAATTACGAAAGATCTCCATTATTCTTGGAATATATTGAGAAGGAAGAAAAGTTAGGAAAACCTAATCTCAAACCCTGTCTATCCTAGCAACATATGTTTCGGTCGGGAGAGGCCTTTCCAAGATTAAACTTATCCCTAAATTTATCATAAAAAAAATATTAAAATTATTTACCCAGCTGTATTCGGGCGGTTCTAATTCCGGCGGATACAGGGACCGGATAGTATCGAGCCGGGCCGGGTTTAAATTTTTTTTAAAAAAATACCCGGGCCAAGCCGAATATTTTAAATCGTCATTTGTTATCTATAAAAAATTTTAATTAAAATTCAGGCCGGGGTGCGAATGATACCTCCGCAGGTCTCCGATATATATATGAATGAATGCTTCATAAAAAGTTTTTAATTTTTTGAACTTGAGCCTTTATGCAAAATTCCTGAACCGAACCCAAACCTTTTACATTTTTTTGCATCCTGGAAACATGTAAGAAATAAAAATTCAAACAGCTGGAAGAAGTGAATGATGAGAGCAATGAATAAAGGATAAGGTATCCATGTGTTCTTTCTAAATACCAATAAAAAAATAAGGTATTAAGATTAGGAATGTAAAATAAAAAACAAAAAAAAATGAAAAAAACACACAAAAAACATACTATTGTTTTTTTTAAAAATAAGCTTAATTTTTTTTAAAAAAAAGGAGTAATATCTTAAATGATTTAAATGAAAAAATTTGTAATGAAATATTAGTAAGACCTTATTTTTCCACAAGTAATTGTTTGTATACGAAAAGTAATTAAATAAGAATGAAAAGAAAACCATTTTTATTTGTGTTTTATTTTCCTAAAGGAAAAATCATTTTTCTTTCATCTTTAATTGAGAGATGTTAATTATCCTTTAAACAACTTTAGATGAAAAAAGGAGAATAATTAAATTTTTTTTTATATATCAAAGGTTAATGAGATGGCGGATTCCGCGACCACTAAAGAACAGAAACTTTTCACAAATATTTCAGCTCTGGCTCATGAGATTTTCGGTGCCACGCAAGGAATGGTGACCGTCTTATTTTCCAATCTGTCTTTGGAGCAGGTTTTACGCATTTTTTTTAACGCAAAAGCTCAACTATATAATGTAGTTTCCTAGATAAAGGAATCTAAGAAAGATGGCCATCAACTTCTACATGTCTTTACATTAGATCAGGGTCAGAATATTCGCATTTCTGTAAATATTTGAGTCAGGGTTTTTTTGTATTTCGACATTTTAGGCTCGGTGACCTCTTATATTTGCAGCCTGACCATATAATATAATATTAGAACAAATATTCCATTCGAATCATCAAAATGTAAATAACGGTATGATGTTGAAAATAAGATATTTATACGTATAAGGAAATTCTCGTAAAATTGTTATATAGCTACCGCATCTACGAGAGCGGGGGAGAGATAAGGGCCTTTAAATTTCATGTATCCTGGAGAAGGGTAGGGGGTAGGCTTCTAGGAGTTAAGGTTAGAAAAAAGAAGGCAAATCTCGGGCGTGTTATCTTCGATTTTTTTTCTTACGTAGACACTGTGTACCGGAGAATTATTACGTAAGATTAAATAAAAAATAAAGTTGTAATGTATATACAATTATTTTAAGTGGCAAAAGGTGTTGAAGGTAAGCCTAGAAAATTTCTTGATTACGTATCTATGGACCCACTACTCGGACGTCATCGCCCAATCTGAGCAGCCTCCTCGCATGACAACGTCAACCGCCGCTCACAATCATTCGATTTCGGAAGAGGAAGGTTTATTTTCACTATTATACATTAGTATTATATATGTCGGTATGGAGATATGGTATCCGTGGGGATAAAGAAAGAAAGAAAGAAAGAAAGAAAGAAAGGAAGGAAGAAAGAAAGAAAGAAAAATCCGATCTAAAAATGTATTCTAGCATGTGTTAGAGTATTTGCCCTATACATTTCAACCAATTTCAGCCAGAGACATTTTAGTATTTTTTTAAAATTTCTATGATAAATCCATATAAAAATTAATGTAAATTAGAAGTTGAAATTCATGGCAAAATTGTTTTTAAATTTACGGTTTGGGCAACTCTATACATGCCGAAATGCAATTCCTTGTAAAATGAGATTCTTAAAATCCAAAAATCGCCAGAAGTAAATGATTTAAAATTGAGAGATTCCCATAGTGTTGTTAAAATACCTAACTTTGAACCATCTCTATTGTGTTTTAGTTAAGCTATTTAGATTTTAAAAAAAATTGAATTAAGCTTCTAAGTTGAGCCTCGACTTGAAGATTGATTAGAATACTTCTGGATAAAAATATGGCTAGGGCTGATTTATATGGTTAACTGAAGATAGGTAGTTTAGCAACACTAGATTCCGAATCCCCGTACGATATATATATTATGTTATAAAGTTGATATCCAATTATACTGTATTTGTCCATTTTACTATCCCGCATGTTTTTTGAGCGGTGTCTATACCCGAGACCTACTAGGTCCGGGTATAGCGGACCTGGGCCGTGCATGGATTTAATTTTTTTTAAAATAAGCTTGAGCTGGGCTTGGGTAAAATTATTGAATTTAAATTTAGATCATTTGAAACAAGTTTGCTAATTTAAAGAAATATTGTCCTTTTTTTCTTCTTCTAATAATAATAAATTTCAGTATTGTAAACAAAATTGTCGCCCTAAACATATTTAAATATTGTTTATTTTCATTAAATAAATAAAAAAAATTAAATTTTTGGATATGGGCTAAGGCCGGGTTCGGGAAATTTTTTTTGAAACTTATCGTGGGCTTGGACCGGGCCCATTTTGGGCCTAAAAAAATTTCTTTACAGCTGGCCTGGGGTGGGTTTGGTCAAGAAATAAGGCCCATGAAGGTTTCTGGTGTCTACTCATGAAAAGAGGGGGGGGATATAAATCTAAGCATGTTACCTAAGAAGATTTTCCTCTTTCCCAGGAAAGATGCTGGATTTAAGAATATTTTATTTAATTTTAGGAGCATAACAATTTTACTCTTTAAAAAAATCGTTTAAGCAATCGAAGCGCACAATAGAAAACCTACGTTCCTCGCGAAACGCCTCAAACGATTGAGCGGAAATGGGGATTCCACATTAGAAATCGTCTACGCAGAGGAGCCGAGCCCCCAAGAGAATGAAACTCTTCTAACCACGTTTTACGTCGCCATTCGTCACAGAGTCGGACCTAAAAGTTTATAAAAAAAATATATAATTTCCTACAGGTGGGATGGTTCCCAGTAAGTTAGCATTGTTTTCACATTTTTTGTGGCTACATCGAAAAAGCAAATCCCCTTGGAATATAGGATGATCACTAAATATAAGTGCGCATTGGATATATTGCTGATTGACACTTCAACCTCAATTTCGATCGCAATCGAGTTTAAGCCCCCCTTTATATGACAGCATCACTGAAAAATTAATTTTAAATGTTTTTTTTTTATTTAATAAAATATAGTTCTATCTCTAAATAAATTTTAGTTACAAACCTACTACTACTACTACTACTGCTAGGAGAGAGGTAAAGCTTGATAACCTTAACGAAAAATAAGGATAACTAAATTGTTATTGAGTTAAAGAAATTAGGGTAGCATTTTAATTTTACTATTTACAACTTTTACACAAATTGATTGTATATCAAAATTTAGTCAACACTCAGCCAAGCTGGGAAGACCATAATTACAAGTTTAGCGATAATTTTCAAATTATTTTTGCTTTTGGAAATATCCAAAAAAAAAAAAGGTTTTTACTATGTTTTACTTTTAAAATTAAAAAAATAAAAGTTTATGCTTTTCTCTGTTCTTGGAATTCTAAACCCCCTTCAGAAAAAAAAACTCCGTTCTCTGTGTCCCCTTATCTTCTTCCACTCTAAAATAATTTTCTCTTTCTCTAAATCTTATCCGCTTCCTCCCTTAATCTCATACTTCGTTCTCATCTATCCTAAACTCTCACTATATCACACTATCCGAATTTATCACCACTTATCAATCTAGCATCCGATCCCTAATAATACCACTTTTCATTCCTGATCCATCTACGCACTTGAATATCGAAATTTAGACTAAATATATTATAATAGTAATTACTTCCAAACTCCTTAGGAGATTCGTTGGCTAGAATAATAGTTGGCTAATTACTATATTTTTAGCCGGCTAAACCAAGTTTTCAGCCTAAAACTATCACTTTGTCCTTGGAGTTTTTCTTAAAAAGATAGAATTTAAAAGACACTAATAAAAATTTAAAATGTCCTAATGATAACGGATTATTTCCGGCAGGCGCTAAAAGATTGAGTCAAATTAGTCGACATTTAGCCATTATCCAACTACTTGGAAAATCCTGAATATCCCAACTAGTGTTCTGTCTCACGTTTCAAAAATATATTGTTTTTTTTTTCAAAAAATAAATAAATTTTTTCATAGTATATTAATTATATCTTTAAAAATACATTTTTCTAAATACGTTTTAGTTTTTTTTGCCAGAAAGGTCGTTTTTTTTTAAATTTTCTGCTTTATTTGGTCAAGCAAGAATAATGGTTCCCGTTCTAAATCTCTAAAACAAAAATCGCTAAAAATTGGGAACATGGCTTATATCTCCTAGAAAATTTTTAAAGTAAATTTGAAATTAATATTAATAGATACTAGGGGACTAAACACTTGTATTTAAATTGAAAATTTAAAAAAAATCGCTAAAATGGAAGAAATATCATCCATATTCCCAATCTGATTCCCAAAACTGGGATTTTGGATGATATTTCTTCCATTTTGGAGATTTTTTTTAAATTTTCATTTAAATACAAGTGTTTAGTCCCCTAGTATCTATTAATATTAATTTCAAATTTACTTTAAAAATTTTCTAGAAGATATAAGCCATGTTCCCAATTTTTAGCGATTTTTGTTTTAGCGATTTAGAACCTATCCTTGAATATTAATATAGCTTCAAATCTATCTTGAGTTTCTTATAACTGAACAGTTTATAAAAAAATAAAATAAATATTATTATTATTACGCTCAACAGATGTAACCGACCAACCTAGATTGGATGTTCGATATTTGTTGTGGGCCTTAAAAAGCTTCGAAAGAACGACCCTTAACCAGGTACGATTTCAGCCAAATCACCTGTTTTTTTTGTTTGTTTTCAATTTATTTAAGAGAACTTAATTCTCAAAAAAAAACAAAAAAAAACATAGAACAACATGAGCCACTCGAAAATGTTGTATTTTGCGGTGAATCCCTTCCTGTCACGAATCATTGCCGACAAAATTTCGGAACTGTTGGACCGATCTTCCTACCCGTTCAAAACCGTGTCCCCGAAAATGATCGATTGCAAACCCGGGATCAAAATAGGAAGGGAATCTGGGACCGATAAGTGCGAACCCGGGTCGATTTGCAAAACGGATGTTAACGGATCGGCGGAGAAGGTAAACGGCATCGGGAGCGGGGAGAGCGTGCTCATGGGGGCCGTGTTCGCCTTCTGCGCGCTCGCGATTACCGGTCTGTTCGCTTATTTCGGTTTTTCGCGCTTTAGAAGATCCAGAAGAGGGAACTTCCGGTTACCCGGCCACGACTCCTTTAATCGCCTAACGGCCAATAGGAGACAATCGATGCGACTGAATAAGATGGATAAAGATAAGGGGTTCAACGATTTGATGGTATATTCGAGATATACCCTAATTTAATTATAATTTTTAAACCAAAAACCTCCCGATGAATAAAATGCATTTCATTTTATCTTCAGTCGACGTACAAACCTGAACACGTTTATTCTATTTTTTTTTTATTATAAGCAAAATTAAGTCAAACTATGATAGAACTAGTGTTGCTAAAACGACTCGATCTGAGCCGACTCTTAAAAACGGATAATTCGAATATTTTAGTTCGCTAATAGGCCGGTTTTTAAGATTCGGCTCAAATCGAAACCGTTTAGCAACACTGAATAGAGGAAGGCATGTGAGCTTGATTCGTAAAAATAGGTTAAAACTAGAAATTTTTTCTTTAAATGCGATTTCAATCGTGAAAGATTATTTATGTATAGAATCGCGAAAATTTTTTTTTGGAATTTTCGGTAACCTTTAATCCAAGAATCATAAATCCTTAGGAGGGATTAAAAATCTCTTCATATTGAAGAGCATTCCAAACTCTGAATTTGAAAGTGTAAGTTTGGACAATTGTATTTTAATGCGTGAGGAGTAAAAACAGAATATTAAGCTTGAGCATAGTTTTTTTTTACTAGTTTTATTTATATTTTACAGGATAGAGCCGAAGAAGGACACCAAGGCAAAATGAATTCTCTCTTTTACAGAGTAAACGTTTTTTTTTCCTTAATTTTTTTTTTGTCAAGGATGTGAACCCTTATACAAAAAATGAGGGTTCGGTCACATCCCTAAATTATTTGACTGTTTATTTTTAAAAAAAATTTCTCATTTTAATTTAATTATTTTTAAATTGTTTATAAATCGATTTAAGATTTTTATATTAAAAATTTTGTTTTGTTCCACCCCTCCACTTCCTTCCCAACACCTCCAATCAAAAAAAAAGAAACCCAATGTATTCGGGCTTAACAAAGATAAAAATATGGATGCTTCTAGGGGACTTGAGGAATTGAAGAGATTACATCCGTTACCAGAAAGATTGGAGGATAAGGGCGAAGCAGTTGGGGACGACGAGATTCGTATTACCAAGAGTGCCAGGATATCTTCATTCGTCGATAATTCGAGGAACGATGATCTTACCAGGAGTCGAGTCTAGATGCGACTCTCACGCTGAACCATTTTTGTTTAAAGTTGTTAATTCTTTGTGTACAATAAATTATCGGGATACTTATTTTTTTCTTTTAACCCTCTCGCCAATTCACTAAAAAAATGAAAGTCTGTATAGGGGAAGCTACCATTGTATATAATAGTATCGTTATAAGTATTATAATTATATTTAAAACTAAACTTAATAATTATAACAATTGATTGTTATATATATATATATATATATATATGTATATTATACATTATATTTAATTTATAATAAAATTGGATTATATATTTAAAATAACAACACTCACACAAAAGTGGAGATAAATTGATAAATCCCCAATAATGAGATTCTTTATATTTGTAATTTATTAAGCGCTTTATTTAATTTAGGAATTTAGGCAAATTTCTTTTCTCTATAAAGAAAGTATTGTAACAAACCTAACATTTGCTAATGAGGGCGGAGCGGAAAGAGATAAAGCGATTTATCTATATGGGGGGGGGGGGTTTATAATTGCATATATATCTCGTTTTAAAGGTTATTTTCCAACCAATAACTTGGTATAAATAATTTCGTGGGATATAGAGTCCACGATGATTCGAATTATCTCAATATTAAATTATTTCGTGTGGTAGCTTAATCTGGAAATTTTGATTAAATCGGAAATATATTACAAAATCGCATTGAAAATCTTATATTGATTATAGGATTCAGCGGATCGTTTTAATTTTAGTTTTAAGGTAGTTAAAATTACTACTATTAATTTTTATATATAAATAAAAAATCTATTGAAAAAAAAAATTGTCGAAATTTATTCTGTACGCCACTTTAAACGTGCTGTGATAATTTCTGCTTTCTACGAACGAGTCCTTCAGCCTTGCGTTACATTTTTTTGGTCTAAAATATTGGGTTATAACCGTTTAGAAGAGAAGAGAAGAGAAGAGAAGAGAAGAGAAGAGAAGAGAAGAGAAGAGAAGAGAGAAGAGAGAGAGAGAGAGAAGAGAAGAGAAGAGAAGAAGAGAGAGAGAAGAGAAGAGAGAGAGAGAAGAGAAAGAGAAGAGAAGAGCAACCAAACCCCCCATCTCTCTCCAGCTGCTTATTTTATTCGAGTCAACACTCATTAGTTAATTTTTTTATTTTTAGCTTTTATTTTATTTTATTCATCAAACCAAACCTGATATTATTTATGATTTAAAAAACAAAATATTCTTAAATTTGAAATTTAGCAAGGTTCAGAAGAAAAAAAATCAGATAGATTTTGGTAATATTTTATTTTGTTAAAACTAGTGTTGTTAAAACAGCTAGTTTTGAGCCCATTTTTTATAATGGCTAATGCGATATTTTAGCCGGAAAATTTTTGCCTAAGGCCGCAATCATAGTGGATCCCATCCGACCCGATTTAACAGCTGATCGGTTTTTAAAATCGGTTTATGAGATGATCAATTTTTTTTGTAATAATATTGATTTTGTCTTTAATTCTATACACAATAATAACTTATGAAATATTGGTTTTAATAAAGAAAAATTGATTTCTCATAAACCGGTTTTAAAAATCGATCAGCTGTTAAAACGGGTCGGATCGGATCCACTATAAATTTTGCCTAAGCTTAGAGCTTTCGTTTATACATGTCTAGATCTTGATTCCTTCTAAGCAAAATCTTCAGGGGGTGTGTAGTATTTTTGGATGAAATATCGAGTTAGCCGTTTAACAACACTAGTTTAAAAGTGAGGGAGGAAATATACTTGGTGTTATTAAATTAAAAAAACCGATTCGGGTTTGATATTTCAAAACGGCAGGATTAAGATTTTAGCGGAGATTCGGCAATAGATCTCCAAGCATTTCTGTCAGCTATGAGCAAAATCCTTTATGTTAGTGTTGTTTAAACGGCTCATTTTGAGCCGATTTTTAAAAAAGGGCGGTCGAGTTAGCCTTTTTAAAAAATCAGATCAAATCGAGCCGAGCCGTTTAACAACACTACTTTAGGCTTACATAATGTTATTTTGGTTATCTTTCTTTCTTTCTTTCATCTTTCTTTCTTTCTTTCTTTCTTTCTTTCTTTCTTTCTTTCTTTCTTTCTTTCTTTAATCGGGCCGTTATTAAAAATCGACCCGAAATAGGGCTTGTTTAACAAAACTAAATATACTATATAAAAAAAAGTGCAATGAAAATAAAAAAAAATTGCTAAAATATTTTAAGTTGCATGTATATATAAAAAAAAATGAATTAAAAAATGTAAAGGATAAATATAAGAAGCAAGATTGAAGTAACGAGCGGAGAATGGGATGATATATAAGGAACTGAAGATAATAAATGTCGTGATGACGTTGAAGAAGTGATGGGCTGTCAATTATTATTAATTTATAGTTTTATATAGAAATACATATACGTGGATCTTGTTTATATGATACAATAGATTTAGATTAAATACAAGTTGCCGAAACAGAGTTGCCATGTCTCCCCCCATCAGCTTAGTTTACACGCAGACTTCTCTCTCCCGCAAAAATACCGCAATTGGAAATCTCCCAGCAAAAATCTATCGCAATTTTTTAATTTCTCCCGCAATTCTTTTTAATAGTATTTTTAACGTTTTTAATATATAAATAATAATTTTGAGAGACATTAATTGATTATTTTTATATTTTTAAAATAAATTTTAAATATTTATTCGAAAAACATGTCTCCTGTTTTATTTTTATCCAATAATAAATCAACATCATTTCATTTATAGTCAGTACAGGGGAGTATATCAACATCGATTGCAATACAAAAATCATCTCAAAATAATAAATAGATGCAACTACATTTGCGGAAATAGTATACATCTATCATGTATATCAATATTCACAGAGCTATATCATCACAATGTGGGTCGAATCTTTTTCTCATAATATTTAACGACTCTAATATAAGTGCAAATCTTACTTGAGGCAGAACAAAAATGAGCAAGGCTATCATAAGTGTTTTAGTACCTGAATCCTAGAGGTCAATTCTAGACGAGATGCATCTAATATCAACAAGAATAAGAACATTTTAATAAAACTGTTAAAAATTTTCCTCGGTTTGTGAAAAGTCCAACAATGTAGCTTGCCACATAAAGGTGTATATAGCTGATTCAGGGTTATCAATGATTTGCATGTCAGCTTTCTATGCTGATAATGCCTCTGTAAATTTTGGCAACAGCCAAAGTTACCGAATTGAGGCAGCACAATAATTAATTAATACCAATTGGTTGTATATGCCATAGGCGATTAATGCCCTATCTGTGGATGTCGAAATAATTGTGATGAAATGTTTTAACTTAGTTCTTCAATTAAAGAATTAATGAATTAAAAGAGTTGGTGAAGTGTTCTGACTTAGTTGTTGCTATATATACCTACCATGTGGTTGTCATTAATACCTGTCATCGATAGAATTTTATAATTTTACAAACCTTTAAAAAAATACTTCTTAAATAGAGATTTTAAAAGCTGTCCTAAAATTTTGAAATTTTTTCGAGTATGAAATGGCAGAAGCACATTTGTGATTCGTTTTACATGTAGGAAATCTACTTCATGCAGTTAATATTCAGTTGCAATCAAAATATTCTTTATTAAAAAGGATTTACAAAGTCATGCTGCAGCTCTGTTCATCTCTACAGTTAAAAATTGATAATAAATTTTATGGCGCTATTGCTAAAAATATTATATTAAAATGTTCAAATAATACTCTAATTAGTACATTTTTAAATGAAGCAGATATTTTTTATTAAGACAATTTTAGAATATTTACAATTAAAATTTGATTTTAATAACTCTATTTACAAAGTTTATCAATATTATGACCTTGGAACAGAAACCATCAATTGATGGTTTTTATAATTTAATAAATATATTAAAAATGCCGAAGACATTGATGTCTTGTTTGAGGAGATTGTAATTCTCTCTATTTTTTATGATTCGCCAAAATACTTAAAGTTAGATGGTCTATAAGCAGAGGAGAAATAGGTAGAATTTTTTCATAATAACGATAAATCCCCATGCTTGGATAAAATATGCGAGTATGTCTTCTCCTTACCTCATTCTAATGCCTCATCAAGCGCATTTGAAGCCTGATGAGGACTGCCTGGAAAGAGAGAAATTGGATTGCTTTAACAACATTAGAGGCCGAGTTAATGGTCATGCCAGGAATTTTATAAATATCTCAATAACGACGGTAAACATTTAGTTCTATTATTTAAATCTCAAATAAAATATAATTAAGTTTTAACAAAGGCGCCATAAAATTTATTTTCAATTTTTAACTAAAGATGAACACATCTGCAGCATAATTTTGTGAATCTTTGTTAAGAATCGCATGTAGATTTCCTACATGTGAAATAATTCCTAAATATACCTCTGCGTTAGGACAACTTTTATAATCTTTATTTAAGAAATATTTTTTTAAAGGTTTAAAAAATTTAAAATTCTATCGATGGCGGGTATTAGGAACATATCGTAACCTACATTGTGCTGACTCAATTCTGTAAATTAGGGCTGTGCCGATATTAAATATCGGATCGGTACCGATATTTAACTTTTCCCAAAAATAACGGATTCGGCCGATACCTCTAAAAAACCCGATCCGATCCGATCCGATCCTTTTACTAAAAATGCAATTCTTAAAACTTTTGAGTAATAAAACTTTGAATTATTATTACATCATATTTATTTTATTTTTTTTAAAATATTTTTTAAAAAAAATATATAAAAAAATAATAAATTTTTCCGAGTTTCAGTGAGTTTCTATTTTACATTAATAATATTTTTTTTTTAAAATAATGCAAATGTTATTTATTTTTTTAAATAGATTTTAAAAGTTTTTTTTATATAAATAGAAAGGAAACACCCAAAGTTTTATTTAATTTTAATTTTTTTTTAAAAAAAAATAACACTAATTTTATTTATTTATACTTTAAATAAAAAATTTATTTTTTTCTGAATTATGGAAATATTTTGATATAGATAACAGAGAATTTTTGCAAAATGCGTTATCTCCGGAAATTCTAATTTCGCGGGGAGGAATAATGGAAAATTCATTTTAATACAACAAATATTCGGAAACAATTTAAGCGATTCCATCAAAACGAAATTCGAAGAGCTAATAAGAAGGAGAAATATTAGAGAAAAAAAACAAATCAAATTTTTTTCAAAAAGAGAACCCTGAAAGTCAGCCAACAATATTAGTAATTCTTAATAAAACTAATATTTGGTAAAATATTTTGATCCTATGCCTGAAAATCTAGAGGCCCTCATATTTATTTTAAAAAAAAAATCTAATACATTATAATTTTATATGGTTAAATATTACAATTTTATAAACCAACATAAAATGGATATATTATTATAATTATTTTATCTATTATAATATAATTTTTTTAAAATTATTGTTGAAATAAAAAAATTAAATTAAATGCATTTGCATAAAAAATATTGATTTCTTAATTAAATTTGGTTCGGGTGGTGAAAAATCAATATAAATATCGGATCGGTATCGGATCGGTTTTGTACCAATATCGGACCGGATCAGTTTTGAACCAATATCGGATTGGATCGGTTCGGTGAAAATATGTGGATCGGCACAGCCCTGCTGTAAATACACTCTGTTTTTACAAAATTCACTGAGGCATTATCAGATCAGAAAGCTGACATGCTATTTATTGATAATCTCGAATCTGCTATATTTACCATTATATGGTTAGCTATGTCTTTGATTTTTCACTATTCGAGGGGATTAATAGTTTTATTGAAACGACCTTAATTTTGTTGAAATAGCGGAGGATCAAGGAAAATATTTTAATATTTTCCTTATTAGATGCATCTGTTAGAATTGCATATGTATGTCATCTTTCAAATCGTCAAGAATTGACCTCCTGGATTTAGGACCTAAAACATTGATGATAGCCTTGCTCATTTTTGTTCTACAAGTATAGTTTTCATTTGTATTAGAGTCGTTAAATATTATGGGAGAAAGATTCTACCAACATTGTGATGATAAGTATCTCTGTGAATGTTGTACTACAAGATAAGTGATTACAATTGCCGCAACTGTAGTTGCATCTGTATTATTTCTTATTTTTAGAGTACCTTATTATGTATTTAAACGTGTTACGTGATAATTAAGCGCCTATCCCTATAATGTTATACACACACATACGGTAGATTTCCAATGGCAGTCGTTTTGCGGGACATTCGCATAAAATATATTTTTAATTTTAAAATTAAAATTAAAATCGTTTTTTTATAAAATTTTATCTTGTTTACATTCTTTTATATTTAAAAAAGATCGTTGGTTTTTTTATATATTAATATATTTTAATAAATCAAGATGTTATTTGATTTTGAAAAATAGTTGTCGACTTTGTATAATTATAAAAAATAATAGGCGGATAATTAAGTCAATTCAAAATCCCGGACGATGGCCGGCACTATGCGGGCTTTCGGCCCGCAATTTTTTTTTTTAGCAATTTTCATATTTCTACCGCAATTTTCAAATTTCTCCCACATAATACCAAATTTCTCTCGCAATTTGAAAATTTTGAACTGGCAACCCTGTGCCGAAACCCGGGACTGAACCAGGGACATGATAATGATACAAATAAAGGGTCAAATGGAGATTTGGGGGTGATGATGAATGATGGGTATTGCGAATGATACAAGATGGATAATGATTTGGAGAACAATGGTGAATTAGATGAGGAATGATGAAGAATGGTAATGGGCAAATGATTAACAATGGTAATGGTCAAATGGGGATTTGGCAATGGTCAAATTTGATTTGTCGATGGTCTAGTTTGATTTGCAATGGTCTAATTTGATTTGTGTATTTGATTTGCAATGAGCTAGTTTGATTTGAGGAATGATGAAGAATGGTAATGATAAAATAATTAGGGATGGTGATGGGAATGGGATTTGGATGATGATGAATGATGGGTAATATTCGAATGAGATTTAGCAGTCATATGGGATTGGGATGATGATGAATGATGGGTAATATTCGAATGAGATTTAGCAGTCATATGGGATTGGGATGATGATGAATGATGGGTAATATTCGAATGAGATTTAGCAGTCATATGGGATTGGGATGATGATGAATGATGGGTAATATTCGAATGAGATTTAGCAGTCATATGGGATTGGGATGATGATGAATGATGGGTAATTCGAATGAGATTTAGCAGTCATATGGGATTGGGATGATGATGAATGATGGGTAATATTCGAATGAGATTTAGCAGTCATATGGGATTGGGATGATGATGAATGATGGGTAATATTCGAATGAGATTTAGCAGTCATATGGGATTGGGATGATGATGAATGATGGGTAATATTCGAATGAGATTTAGCAGTCATATGGGATTGGGATGATGATGAATGATGGGTAATTCGAATGAGATTTAGCAGTCATATGGGATTGGGATGATGATGAATGATGGGTAATTCGAATGAGATTTAGCAGTCATATGGGATTGGGATGATGATGAATGATGGGTAATATTCGAATGAGATTTAGCAGTCATATGGGATTGGGATGATGATGAATGATGGGTAATATTCGAATGAGATTTAGCAGTCATATGGGATTGGGATGATGATGAATGATGGGTAATATTCGAATGAGATTTAGCAGTCATATGGGATTGGGATGATGATGAATGGTAATGGGCAAATGGGAGGCAGATGGGATTTGGTCGAATGAATGGAATGGTATGATGCTGGAGTACATTGGAATGGTATGATGCTGGAGGGTGAGTATGAGATGGAAAAAGGAAAAATTGTTTGTAAAGGGGGAAAGTGTCGTGATGACGTTGAAGAAGTGATGAGCTGTCAATTATTGTTAATTTATAGTTTTATATAGAATCTTGTTTATATGATACAATAGATTTAGATAAAATATTCTCATTCGTAATTATATTTGATATGATCTTTACAATAAATAGCGTATATATATAACTAGGAATAAATAATTTTACTATCATTTTATTACATGATCTAACATAGTTATAAAATAATAAGATATAAAAATTAAAAGGCAAAAGATTAAGGGTAAAATAAAAAATAGAATTCTTTCCTAAAATTGAAAAGTATTATAATATTCACAAAATTTCAAATATATATATTTCCTTTAATCCTCATTTACATAGACTGTCATATTAAATAATATCGTAATAATTCTTCTAATTTGAATAATACATTTATCGTTTAAAGTACTCATCTAAAATAAATATTATTAATAATAATGTAGGAAATAATTTAATGCATACACTTCTTTTCTTTTTAATTTTGAAGAAAAGAGTTATTTTAGATTATGTAATATAAAATTTTATTTTTTATAATTTCCTAACCATAAAGGAAAAGGGCTAGTTGTAAATAAGGTAATATTTATTAAATTTTTTTTAATATATATAAAACAATATTTTATTAAAAATTTCTATCCTAGCATTTAAAACACTAAAATTAAAATATTAAAAAATTTAAAAAAAAACAATTTCATATTTGTGTTCCCAAAAGGGAACCATAATTATATCTAAAAATTTCTATCACAATTTTTTGATGCATATATATAAAATACTTAGCTTCGTTTGTAAAATTCAAGATTTATGTATCTAGATTTTTTAAAATTTTTATGTAAATGGCGAAAATTGCCGTTTATGGAAGTCACTATTGGAATAAATAGAAAATTGTTAAAATTTTTATGATCGCTCTTTTTTTTGTTCCTGATGGTGTTAGTGGATTGATATTTATTCTAGAGGAGAATGAAGAAACGCATGTGTAGTCTAATATTAGTGATTTTCCGAGGGCCCAAGGTTTAGTTGTCATACCATCAGGTCTTAAGCTATTAACCCTTTCGCGCCCAGCGAGTTCATTTGTCATCTAAATTTTTAATCTATTAATTTTTATATTTAAAAAACGAATGGTTGCTATTTAGACACATTAATTTACAAAACAATATTTATTCTTTCATATTTTATCATTAACCTGTTAAAATCATTATTTTATTATATCAGAATATAAATTCAAAGTTAGGTATTTTAGGCGCCAAAATTTTTACACTTTTACATCGATTACCATTCTGTATAAATATATATAAATCAAAGGTAAATAATATTTTTATGATAGATTATTACTAGTATTTCATATTTAGTAAAAAAAAATTAACAATAACTATTTTTTATATGATTTTTTAAAGAAAATCCAAATTGGTAACATTTGGATTTACTTATGTAATTTTTTCCATAAATTTTTTAAAATTGAATATTGAAAATATGATATAGTAAGAATTGAATATAGGCTATTTTCCATTTAGCAAGCCACTATAATATTTGCAAAATGTTAAGAAAGTGAAAATTTTATTTTATATTTTTTAAAAAATTTTATAAATAATTTTTAGATGACCTCAACATGTATTATACTAGAGGGAGATATATCTGATGTAGATATTGAGAAGGATGATGACTTTGAAAATGCCACAGTAGTTGATCTAAATATGACCTATGATATTTTACCAGATATTGGGTTGGAACTGGAAAATTATGATAATGATAATGATATTATCCCAAGTAATAGGAAAACCCTATGGCGAAATAAGGATTCATAAATATAATACAGAATTTAAACAAGAATTTTTGCCTCCACCTGATAAGGAAATTTTGCCTTACAAATATTTTAAAAAATTTATAGACGATGATATTATTAACAATTTAGTAGAGCAAACGAATATTTATTCTTTTCAATTATCTGGCAAATCAACAAATACAAATAGTAGTGAAATTGAAAAATTTCTAGGAATTCACCTTTATACGGGCATTGTTGAATTGCCATCAATAAGGCAATATTGGGCTATAGAGACAGTGATTCCTCAAATTTCTCAATGCATGACAAGAAACGGATTCTTGGAATTGAGAAAATACTTTCATATTAATGATAATAATAATATAATCCTTAGGGGCCAGCCTAATTACGATAAACTTTTCAAACTAAGACCATTTATTAGTGCATTAAAAATGTACATGAGAAAGATTCAATTAGAGGAAAAATTATCAATTGATGAAATGATAGTCCCCTTCAAAGGGCGATGTGAATTTAAACAATATATTAGCTCAACAAAACTGCATAAATGGGGAATTAAAAATTTCGCTTTATGTGGATCATCTGAAATGCTATATGATTTCGAAATATATTTAGGAAAATGCACAAATATAAAAAAAACTTTGATGGGAATTAGCGGAGATATTGTTATACGACTATTAGAAACTGTTCCCCCACATAAAAATCATAAAATTTACACGGATAACTTTTTTCCTTCATATAATTTAGCAGTTGCGCTCAAAGATAATGGCTTTATCATGTCGGGGACCATTAGATCTAATCGATTATTAGGATGCCATCTGGTTGATGATAAAATCTTAAAGAAAAAAGGAAGAGGGTCCCTTGATTATAAAGTGGATTCTAATAATAATATTATAATTTGCAAATGGTTTGATAACAAATCGGTTATCACGATATCATTATTTATGGGTATAAATCCCTCATCACGAACGAAAAGATGGTCGGTATCTGAAAAATCTTTTATTAATGTCGAAATTCCGGCTATAATTCAAAATTATAATGCTGGTATGGGAGGAGTGGATCTCCATGATATGTTAATTAAACTATTCAGAATTGACATAAAATGGAAGCGCTTTTACATGCGAATTTTCTTTCATTTATTAGATTCCTGTGTACATCAAACAGAAAGATGATAAATATATATCTCTTTTAGCGTTTAAAACTCGGATAACTAAAGGATAATGATGGTTGGTAAGGAAAATTATGGAAAAGAAGGTAAACATAATTTGAAGATTGAAAAAAAGAGAAAGAAATTGAATAGTTTTCATCCAATCTTAGATATTAGATTCGATAAAATAGGGCATTGGCCCTCGGCGGCTCACAGACCAAGATGCAAGAATTGCAAAAATGGTTATACCAGATTTGAATGTTTAAAATGTAAAATATCTTTATGTTTAAATAAAAATCGCAATTGTTTTATTTCTTATCATTCAAAATAAATTGTATATTTTTTTACATATGAATATCCCAATGATGACAATCGGTAACATTTTATAATTCTATATATATACACTTTTTAAAATAAAAAACGTTGAAAATGTGTTATTTACGTCTTATTTAACTCAGTTTTAGAAAAAAAAATTTTTTGTTCACGGGAAATATGTCGGGCGCCAAAGGGTTAAGATAAATTTGTGGGCTCAATATGGTTCTTGTTGAAATGTTTAAGCCACCATTAAAATAATTCAATAATATATTTTAAAGGGTTTAGTTTATGTTGAGGCAGTTTTCTGAGGGTTAGAAATATGCAAAAAATTATTTTTAAAAAGACTATATCTCGTCTATAATTAACAAGAAATAAAAATAAATTCACAGGAAAAAGTTTCTTTCTGGGAAAAGATTTTAATGGGCTAAATAAGGTGGAAAGCAGTTTTCCGAAGTTTCCAGCTTAGATATGGACCTAATAAACTTATTTATAGATAAAATCATAATAAAAATTTACTGAGTTAAAATTTTAATTAAACGATATATATATTTTTTAGATCACTATATTATATTCTCATGTTTATAAAATATATTATATAACTTAAGGTAATTTCATAAAGGATAATTAACCATGGGTTATTTAAAATATTTATATTTGTTAAAGCCTTGTGAATATATTCTTATAGTAATATTTCTATATATTTAGTTTAGATATTAGTCAATATAGATCATTGATATTTTAATTTAATGTAACTTTAATTTTACTGAACAGTTAAGGTAATTATCTTTCATTTTTCGCGGTAGTTAATTTGGTCATCAATTACCATTTTAAATTATTTTCAAAAGGTGAGGTTATATTTTATTGCAATGAACATAACCGAAAATTTATAAATATATAGATCATTTAAAGAAATATTTGGAAATATCAGTTTTTATACTTTTCATGACCATTTTTTTTGAATGAAATCACATCTACTAATTAGCTATAAGGATAATATTAATGAGTGATCATCAAAAGCCAGCTCAATTGATATCATATGAATACTCATCCACGTCAGAGATAGAAGATGATGAAAATTTAATTGATTCATCTTCCATTAATGAAACAAATTTAGAAATATCTCCAATTAAGCAAGCATATGAATCGTACTCAGAACACACAGAAATAGAAATAACTGCTAGTAATATATCACCCATTGATTCCTTGCAAGAGTCACCCCAAGAAAATGTGTCAGACAACGTAAGTGAAGAAGAAAAATATGATTTTGAAATATCAGGTATGAATATATTCATACAATATAAAGTTTAACAAAATATGACATCATAATTTTTTTTATTATCTAATATAGATGAAGAATATATAGCCTCACCACTAAAATCACAAGCTGGCATCTCAGCTATCAAAAGTTTACTATCCTACGGTGCTGATCTTAATACAACTAATGCTACTTTAGACCCTAATGATAGTCTTACTAATGATGGACTGATTGTTGCACCTCATATTCCAACTATTGATGTGAAGAATAAAGAAACAGATTTTTTTGAACTAGATCAATCAGCTGAAAAGCCAAAATCAAGAGCAAATTCTGGAAACTGGTCTGATTACAAAAATGAGAACCCACAAGAAAATAATGAATCACATGTAGATTCAATTCATTCTTCCCAATCTAAAGGTAATATTTAATTATATTTCTGTTTTAATTTTTAGTTAAATTTTGGATTAGCACCATTATCAAAGTAACTTGTGGGAGGGGGAGGGTGCTTATAAAATACATTTTTGAAAACTAATTACACATCAGTTAAAATGAATATTTTTCTAGTCCTTAGTGTGATAGTAAAAAAATTTATTATTGCATAAGTTTTTTTATTCTTCTATAGATGACGAAATGATAAAGATGGAAAGCTGGCAACAAGACCTCATACAAGAAGCTGATGGTAATGATGATGAAATGGATGTAGAGGATGATAATATGGGTTCAAATCCAGATGAAGGAAATGACTTTGATCCCAATCTTTCAACAGAAAAGCTCAATAAAATATTCTGGGAACCAGATGGGCCAGCATGGGCTCTTGCCTTGGGACTCAAAAAGATTTCTCAATCTAATCCGGATATTATAAGTTTTTTTTAAAAAAAAGCAATATTTTATAGTTGTTCCTGAAATAAGATACTCGATTTAAGAAACACTTAATATTATTAGGTTTAGGCTACTTATACTCTATTCTTTAGCCAAAGCTTGAACTTCTATCTTAAATTTTTTATGAACCAGAATGCTTTTTAAAAATTTTCAGCAACTTTAATGCATTCCTAAAATTAATTTTTATTGTTCAAAAATATTAACAGATAGATACTAAAACTTCTTTTTAGAAAAAATGTTTAGAATTATTCTGGCTTTAACTATTTATATTTAGATCAACAATAATGATTGAAAGTAATTAGTTTTATATTATAGTAACAAATTTATGATAAATGGGATGTGAGCTTGCAACTTAATTATTATTAATAAATATTAGGAAAATAATTATATACCAAGATGTAATTATTTGCAATGACAATTTTATTGGTTGACCAAATATTTTATTGGTCAGGTCAGACTATTTAGGTAAGCATTAGTATTGCAGTGGCTAGATGCCCCCAAAAATTGGAGATATATAGAATTTTTCTAGACGCCCCCAAAAATGGGGTATATAGAATATTGGTGCCTCCAAATAGATTAATTTAAGCTTATTAGATATATATATTTATTATGGGGGCAATAAGAAAAATAGATGCAAAGGCTAGGTGCCCCCTTTTTTTGAATTTCTTGTCAATTTATTTTTACAGTTATTAAAACTATGGATGGTACAAATTCCAGTATAAAGGTATACAATTTACTTATAACAATGTTTATATTATATTTGTAGATAAATGCCAAATTCTATTCACACGACTTTTCTGATTTTCATTTTATCCCAATAGATATTTCTATCGTTGGGTCCTTGGGCCCTCAAGGCTATCATTCTTTTTAAGATTTTAGATCTAAAAAAATTTCTCAAATTAATGGTGATCATGGATTCTCTTTTAAAATGTTACCATCAACTCAAATCGCTCTATTTCGGGGATCTCAGTTCCTCGGATCTCAATGAGGCCCTTAACCACCCCCCCTCCCACCCCATAGTTTTTTTTTTTACAAAAAACCTAATTTTTATCTTTTTTTTAAAATTGTTTACTTAATTTTTTAAATGTTATTTAGATTTATATGTCATGTTATTTTTTTTAATATAAATAAAGGGAAATTATGAATTTACACAACTTATTAAGAAAAAAAAAGAAAAATTTAATGGAAGATTCTGAATGTGTTTCAATTAATTTTTATAAAAGTTTATAAATTAAATATATTTAGGTCATATAGCCTAAAGTATAAAAAATAGTTTTTAGACCATTTTAATATTTTATTCGATAAAAATAAACATTTTTTAAAATGGTTGACCCTCTCTAAATGCTTCCCCGGTTTTTTTTCTTCAGATTCACATTCATGATTCTTCCGAGAAAGGTAAATTATATTATTTACTTTCCTCCATTTTGAAAAGTGGGCACTGTTTCTTGAATCTTATGGTACGTCTGAATTGTTAAATTTTTCCATTTACAATGATTAAACATCCAATTCATAGGTGAATAAGGCTATTTTTTTCATATTTAGACACCCCCGTGGATGTTTTATTGCCGGAACCTATAGGGAGATGTTCGGAAGCTTTACAAGAAAAATTCAGGATACTCCACGAGAAACGGAAGATTTTCGAAAGTCAAAAAAACAATCATTCTTCTGGGTGAGTCCATGTTTTTTGCGTTTTTCCCATTTTCCTTTCTTCCTATCCTGCTTCTCGCCTTCACCCTTTGACTTTACAAATCATTGGCATTTATATATAAATTTTGAGTTCCGAAAAAAAAACCAGGAAAAAATCCCCGGGATTTTTCTTTCTTCCATATTTATAGAATTTACTTAAGATCTAATAATATAGGGTATATTTTTATTTGGATTGTAATTATACTAATATTTATATAAATGGACAAATTAGTATTTTTAGAAGAAAAAAAAATATTATATAAAATATAATTTATTAATAAGCTAAAAAAAAAATTTAGGCTCTAATTCATTATTTAAAAGATTACACTCAATATACCCTCCATAAAAAAAATGCTTAAACAAGATGAAATGCTGATGATCAAAATTGGTAACTGGGGGAATCTAATACCTTAGTAAAATAACCCACGTATTTCTTATTTTCGTAAAAATTATTTGCTATAGCAATAAATACAATATCCATCCTTAATTACAATATTAATAAAACTAACTTTGACAAAATTTTGTAATAAGATATATTTATGGTAAAAATCATGATTAATGTAAAATACCAATTTAATAATTTAGATTGATAATTATATGGGTTGACATAGAATATTGGAGGAGGAAACCACTCTTATAAAATCTGGAAGGCTTCGCACCCCACCACAATATTCCTAGCAGTTTCTTTAACCGAATCTGGTTGTTAGAACTCTGTGATTTTGTTTTCGATGTCCAACTACCTGCGCGCCATCTTTCTAGTTTGGTTTCATCAACAGCCACCTCGCATTTCATTTTTTTAATGAGTACCCAGATTGATGGATGTTTATTCCCAACCAGATTAGAAAAACGATGATTCCAACCTTCGCATTGATTATTTGTTCGTTATTTATTGGATAAAGTGCTCTGATTCACGTTCCACTGAGGCTCAATTTGATGTGTCTGGTATTAAGAATTGCTTCTTGTGACCTCCCTTGATACTCCATTGATATAATTTTTATCGAAATAATCAAGAATATCCTTACCATTGCTCGGAGTAACCGATCTCAGGAACGTCATAGCATTGCCCATATCACATAAAGGAACAAATGCTAAGCCATCCATGCCACAAAAGAAGTTTAGAGTTTCATCGGTTCTGTATTGGCTTTCCAGACCTAGCTTCTGAATTTTTCTATGGGTACTTTGACACAAATGGTAAAAGCATCCTCTAATCACAATGTGATCTCCTAATTGAAAAAAATAAATAATTAACAATCATACCAATCATAGTTTTAACTGCCATCATTGCAGACTCTTTCAAAGTAAATTATGGTTCCCAGAACTCAAAAGGATTTTTATTATTTGATTATGGCCCAGTTTGCAACTCATGAACCCTTAAATTTAATAGCAAATATGACAGCATGGTATATGGATATAAATTTTGAATTTATGTCATTAGAGTTTCAATTAACACATTCCCGCTATTTTATTGTGTACTTAAAAAAAACGCAAAATACTTACAAAAGAATATTCGAAATATACAGATTTCGTTTGCTAATGATTATTAATATGTTTAATTACTTATTTTTTTCAATTAGGGGATCACATCATAATCATAGGATTACCATTTGTGTTAAAAGTACCCATAGAAAAATTTAGAAGTTAGGTCTGGAAAGCCATAACAGAACCGAAGAAGTTTTAAACTTCTTTTGTACCCTTATGGACTGCTTAGCATTTGTTCCATTAGGTGATATGGGCAATGCTATGACGTTCCTGAGATCGGTTTCTCCGAGCAATGGTAAAGATATTCTTGATTATATCGATAAAAATTATATCATTGGAGTATCGAGCGAGGTCACAAAAACCAATTCACAATCCCAGACTCCTCCAGAAACTTGGAACGTTAATCAGAGCACTCTATCCGACGAAGAACTCGCAAATAATTAATGCGAAGGTCGGAATCATCGTTTTTCCAATCTGGTTGGATATAGACACCCATCAATCTGGGTATCGATTAAAAAATTGAAACGCGAAGTGGCTACAGATGAAGCCAAACTTGAACGATGACGTGTAGTGAGGAGTTGGACACCAAAAAAAATCGCAGAGTTTACCCAGATTTGGTTAGAAACTTTGAGACGAATACCGTGATGGAGTGCCAAGCCTTCCAAATTTTATAAAAGCGATTACCTTCAATATTCCATGTCAACCCATATAATTATTATTTCAGATTATTAAACTCGTTTATACCATATGATTTACCGTTAAAATAAATAGCGAATAATTTTTACGAAAATAATAGAAATAAGGTTATTTTACCGGGATATTTTTTCCCCCAGTACCAATTTGAATATCAGCATTTTTATCTTGTTTAATCATTTTTTTTTATGGAGGATATATATATGAGTGATCTTTTAAATAATGAATTAGGGCCTAAAAAATTTTTTTATAGCTTTATTAAATAAATTATATACATAAATATTATTTTTTTTTTCAACCTAAAATACTAATTTGTTCCATACCTTTATAAATATGAGAGTATATCCATTTAACTGGTGACGGCTAATTTAGAAATATTGCGCAAGACTGAAGATTTTGGTCTAAGATAGCTCAAAGGATTATACATCTATTAGCGAGGCCTCGAGGTTCTGACCGACATTTTTCTGGCTAAAATATTGAGTTTAGGTCCTAAGTAAATTTTATAAATATGAAGAAAAGAAAAATTCCGGGGGGGTTTTTCCCGGGAAACGCGCGTTATTTGAATAGCGAGTAAAACGAACGCGTTAGCGCGTCTTTTCTATTTGAAGTGACGTTTACAACTCTACTAAGTCAATCATTTTTAATATAAAATCCCCTGGTATTAGCAAAATGGAAAAAATGAATTAGACAATAATATGCCATACGATTATTAGTAACGTAATAAGATGGGATTGTCAATTAGGTAAGATCTTGATTAAGAAATTATTTTTCTAGATGTCCCTGGCCTTCCAAAAATGTCTTACGTTGTCACCTTTTTTGGTGTAAAATAAAAAGCTAAAACAATTTTTTTTTCTCCGCGCCAAAAAAATAAATAAAAGCGAATCGGAGGAATCGATGGAGAAAGATTTCAATGACGTCATTTGCGATAACAAAGCCTTCCGCAACCCCAGCATATACGAAAAACTGCTGCAATATTGCGACATCGACGATTCGGGGACCAATTGCATTCCTACCACCGACTTCACTTACCATCAAAAAAGCTCCACCGACGCCAAAATTGTCAATATAGGTATATATATATATTACGATAGGTCTTCTCTGGTTTTGAAGGATGGGTTGGAAAGGGAAATTGGTTTTTTTTTTAAATTAATTTTTTTAGTACTACTGCAAACACTACGATCCTCGTGGGAAATAGAATCTGCCAATTTTTTTACATTCTCTTTCTTTCTTTCTTTCTTTCTTTCTTTCTTTCTTTCTTTCTTCAAAATTTAATTATCGACTATAATGATTTTAAATTAAGTGGCTAATTTTGTTGGAAATCAACTTTATTTTAAAAAATCGTATTCCCAACAAAATTTCTTTACAAAATATGAATATGGTGTTTCTTCTCACAATTGTCCAAAATAAATATATAATTTAATAGGGTAGTTAGTCTCTGTTTTTTTTCAATCAGTGTGTTTATTCTGGGTTAACTGTCAGCGCCAATTCCTGGCGAGACAGCATAGTTGGATAATTTTCCGCGAATTTGTGCGGTTTAATCAACGAATCTTGATATCATTTTTTGAGCGCGTTTTTTTTCCCGCTGTAAATTGTATTTCAGCATGTGCGGAAAAACTTAATACGATTTTTTTTTAGAAAAATTTACTAACCTATATTTGGTTCATTTATTTTTATCTAACTACGATGGGTAAACGTAAAAGAGGAAGGCCAAAACTTCCATGGAGCTATAAAGTTAGAGCCGTTATGAAGAAGTATAAATTAGATAAGCAAGATAGCAATGAATAACATAAAGTGGAGAGAGAGATATTGAAGCTAAAAGAGAGAAAAAAAATGTATTTATTTTAACGATAAATATATTTTATCTTTATGTATAAAATAAAATTTAGATTACAAAAAAAAATATGATTTATTACAAATAAAAATATTTTTAAAAAAAACGATTTGTAAAATTATAATTTAAAAAAATATATTTAAATCAAAACGGAAGTGAAAAGGGAGAAGAAAAGTTAAGATTCTTGATATAATAACGAATGATAAAAGATTAAAAGAGATTTTTTTCCGGGATAAAATCAAGAGAACCAAAATAAAATTTATTTGCAACAAACAACCTAACAATTATCATCAAAACAAATATATATTTATAAATATTAATTATTGTAAAAAAAAATTATATAATTTTGCAATCGGTAGTAAAGGTGGGTTAGGGAATACCATATGTGTTGAAGAGTGTTTTCGGAGAAACGCTTGTAATTCAATTTTAGGATTTTAAATTGGATTTTTTCTTGTTTGAAGGTAAGGGGGGGGCTCTTTTTTAACCCCCCCCTCCTCCCCCATAAATGGTTCAAAAATTAAGAGCGATAATTGTCTGGAATTTATATGGGTAGATATTTTGATACATGTTTGAAATACAATTCTAGGTTAAACTCTGCAGTTAGCGCAAATTAGCGGTGTGCCGATTTTACATATCGGAACCAATTACATTTTATAGTAACTAAGACATGATGCATTTTTGGTAATTGCATTTGGGCGTCTTTGAATGCAAATCAGCTGGGCCCGCCATTTTGGTAACCATGTTAAAAACTACTATTAAATTGATAACTTTTTTCCTTATTATCTCGATGATCAGGCGATTCCTTTAATAAAGTTTGCGTCAGACATAGGCAATAAATTGGTCCACTTCGTTTAAAATTTTTAATAACGATTATGGGTAATCAAAATAGCGTCCACAGCTGTTTTCATTTGATGTACACGTCAGTCTAGGTATTATTACGTATTATTGATTGGGACCGATACTTTTAAAAAAAACATGATCAGATGTCGATACTTTCAAATACACACTGATCCAATCCTAAAATTTTTTGTTTTGGGTTGTAGGATGATTGTGGGGAACGAAAATTTAATTTATTTTTGTTATATGTATATCTGCAAAAGAAATTTATTTTAAATATATCCCCTAATACGAGATAATCTAGAAATAATATGGCGCTCACCTTAAGAGATTTTGCACATAAGTGGAACCAAGACCTGGACATCTATTTGCCAAATCTCCAGGTTTTTAGGCTATATTTTTCTGACTAAAATAATTAGCTAGCCATTTTTTTTAGGAATCGGCTCGAATCTAACCGTTTAACAACACTTAGATTAGGTACAACCAAAATTAGTATATCAAAGATTATAGAGAATCTAATTATCGAATGTTTTGCCGTTATCTTCTTTTTTGTGTAGGAGTCCTAAACTAAATTCCGAAATCTGGAAAATAGTCAATCCTAGAGTCTTCTAATGTGAAATGGATCACTCTTATGGGAAAATGAGTTATCTGGTCTTCCGGTTGCTTTTTTTTTCTTAAAAAAAAATCCAATTGAGATTCTAAATAAATATTTTTTGTTCAACCTAACCAATAACTATTACTAATAGTTAAAAAATAGTAATTTGAATATTCATTCGGAGTAAAAATAAATCTTCAAATGAAGATTTTTTTGAGAATGTTTAAGCAGCATTTTGGTTAAAATATAAGATTAGAAGAAAATAGATGCATCATCAACATACATCAATTAAGGTTTTTGAAGCGCTTTAATTCAAATAAATTTCTTGGACAACGATCTTATTTATTGACAGTAATCCATCAATAAGTTATTATTGGGATTGTATGCAAATAAAATGTAAGAAAACCATGAATTCCAAAAAAAATTTAACTAGATATAAAATAATTTTCTTCCTAATGAATACTCTGTGTAAGGTATGATTAAGTTTATCTTACGTTTTATAATTATTTTTAATTAATTATTCTTAGTATACTCTGCGCTAAAAATAATTTTAACATTTTTATATTTAAATTCGAGCCACACACTTATATATATATACCTTTTGATCTGGGTAATTAATTTGAAAGTAAGTTTAAATGGGGAAATTATATTAAATTTTTTTTTATATATATAATAATTTAATTTATTATTAACATACTATATCTATATTCAATAAACACTAAAATTATAAAAAATATATATATTTAAAATAACATGCATTGTAAAATAAAATTTATATAAAATAATAATTTAACATTTAATTAGGCATGATCGACGGGGTTTAATGACTCATGTATGGATATGCAGTTAGAACAACAGATTTCAGTTGATATTCCCTGTCGAAGGTAGAAGCCTTCTTTTGGATCACCCGTGATTACTTATCAACGAAGAAGTCAGAATAGCTATAGGTTTTCGTTTAGGCTGCTAAATTGAAACGCCAACATCGATAGTCTAGGACACCACCCCCTACACTGTCGTTTTTCCAAAAGGCAGGTTACCTAGATGCTATGCCATCAATAGAACCTTGAAATAAATATTCCTACGCTGGAACACTTTGGTGGCTTCAGATAATCAAACCAGACAGGATGGTGTGACGCTAATCCCTTGGAACCAAGGTTTACCTTTTGGGATTTTACGTGTGTAGATCTTTTTCTGCCAACTCCATCACGAAAGTGGGAAAACACAAAAACAAATAAATATTGCCACCTTAATAATTTTTTTTTGTTCTGGTAGTCTCACACACCTGTGAACCATTTGGACCACAAGCCATAAAATTATTCAAAACAATAGAGGAAAGGCTTTTAATCACATGGGATCCAAAAGAAGGCTTTTACCTTCGACAAAGAATATCGAACGAAATCTGTCGATCTAACTGCTAATCCATACATGGGTCATTAAGCCCCGACCACCATACCTAATTATATTTTTTTTTAAATTTCCTTTCTTTTAAATATATATTCTTTTAAATAGTATTTTCATCTTTGTTTTATTTTTATAACTGTGCATTGAAAATTATCAAAATAAATTTAAATTAATATTCTTTCTCCAATGATAGTTTCAGAAATTCCTCTTTATTTAATCATCAAAATATTCCCACGTATTCATCATCAATTATTTGATAATTCCGTTTTTTATCTTATTATTCTTTTTCCATTCCAGCATTTTCGCATGCCTGTTTCATTCCAGAGAAGAACATTTTTTTCCCATAGGAATGTTTAGCATGTTAAGGCAGTTAGTCTGGCGAATACGAACTGCTCCTGGTATATTTATTCGGTCTGGCACTTTCCCAGCCCTTTTTTTTAGACTATCCTATTTTTTAAATATATTTTCGGATGGTCCCCTTATTTTTGGGGGAAACCTGGACGCAAGTTTTCTATAGTCAGTAGACGCGCTGTTATCCGTTAAAAGATTTATCAGCTTTTTTTCGATTTCGGATGTATCTTGGGGATTTTTGTATTGCTTCAATGGTTCCCCCTATAAATTCTGGAAAAGGCTTCTTGCCTTAATTTGTTTTACCGACTATTGACATAATAAATATGTTTACCATTATTTTCATTCTTTCCATTTCGGGGGCTAGGAATAAACAATTTTGTTACTATTTCAATTTTTCTCTTTATTCCAACAATTATATTTTGTTACTATTTCAATTTTTCTCTTTATTCCAATAATTATATTTTCTTTATTGGGTTTTTGAATTGGCGGTGAGTTTGTAGGGTTTATTATTGTCTAATTGGCACTTATAATAAGCAGATTGCGGAAAAATATATTAATATTAAAACCTGAAACCCCCTGTACCTAGAAAGAAAGAAAGAAAGTACTTTTACAAGTCAAGATATTAATCCAGTCATTTAAGTTATAGTTATGATTTTATTAACATCCACGGAACGTTTAGTTTATTTTATTAATATGATTGATTTTATTTAATGCCTTTGTTACCCTCTACCTAACTATACTTATAATATTTAGGCAAATATGGCCCCGGGGTTTACAATACCAAAAGATCTACCGGCAAAAGACTGTGGGGTCGACCATCTTTTTACGAGGAACTGGCACGTGTGCAAAAGACCGAAATGGAAAGGTGGGAGAAGGAACGGGTTTTGCACGTGAGCAAGGAAGCCATAGCCAAGGCGAACCAGGTGAGCCATCAGATAATTCAGATGGCCGATCAGGCTGAGAAACTCATAATGGATGACAAAGAAGTGATTTTAAAGTTTTTATTTTGTTTTCGAAACTAAATTTTTTTGTACCTATTTATTTTAATATATTTTCAAGGTCAAAGTTAGCCATCATAAAGAGGAAAATGTGGAAATAAAAATTGAAGTTATAGACAAGCCCCCTCCCGGGTTCGGTTCTAGTTTTGAAAACCCATTTGACGTGAATGCCAAAGAATTAATCATCGTCAAAAGTAAGAAAACCAAGTGGGACAAATGATGATACAACAGTTAGAAACCATTTTCTTTTTTGGGATTCGACGCAATCGAATGTCAGCATAATATCATCGAGTTTTTCGAGGGGGTGCAATATAACCGAACATGAATTATATTAGTTTTAACATTTACAAAAACTGTGATAACAATGTCTCATTATATTTATAGGTTATTATTCAAATTATTGTATATAAATAATACCATATCATAAATATCTAAATTGAAGTTGTAGTAATATTATTATTGTATCTAAGAAGGAAGTCTTAAATTCTGCAATGGAGTTCCTAGGATTGGTTCTATAAGGTTGCAAATGCTTGGAATTGTAATTTAAAAAAAATTAGTATTGCACTTTATACGGCCTATTCTGGGTTCCTATTCCTTTTGACGCTTCTTGGCTCCGCGGAAATCTGATGCCACTTCCTCCCCCTAGAAAATCATGGTTATAATTGTGATTATCATTTTATTTGTTTTAGCGCATATTAACTAGCTCTAAAAAAATTTATATTGTGGGCTTGGCTTCCTTCCTTGAATCTGACATGTTCTATTAAAAAAGTAATTTATTACCTGCTTATTTTTTTGAAATATTCCTTCAACAAATAAACCATTAGAATATATTAGGGGTTAAGGAAGAACATATACAGTCCTTTAAGATACAACTTGAATAATACAAAGTGTCTGGGCATAAATTTGAGAATCAAAACAAAAAAGACAAAGCTCGCTGTTTTGGATGCTAAGTAGGATCGATTGGGGAAAGGATATTAAAATAAATTTATTTATTATCCCTTTTTGGAACACTTTTAAGCCAAATAAACGAAAACTTCTGAATTCGTGGAAGTCTTTATATTTTCTTAAAATTATAGATTTCATATATATTTTTTATGTGCCTATTTTGTAAATGTTTTATTTTTTGGGAATTTTATATTCGGGTTAATGGATTTGCAAGTATTTTTATAAAGTACATTACATTAAAAATTTCCATTTTGAAGGTTATGCTTAGTCTTTTTTTTCTAACTAGTTAATGATAATAAGATTTTAATTGTCGTTATAGGTGATAGTTATTGAAGACCCCTCTGATCTTTCCAAAAATATTTAAGCCCCTCAATGCAGGGTTTCATGTGCCTATGTCTAGAAAGAAACCTATTAAGGTTTAATCCACAATTTTTCAAGTTGAGACAACATTTTGATTATGTAGTATAGTTTGCCATTACAAGAAACTAATCATGTTTTTATATATGATTACCAAATATATAGCATGACCATAAAATATTTTCATCACTAAGCACGTTAATTAACCAATTAATTAATCTTTCAGCTGGAGGGTAGTGTAGCATTTTTCTAGTGGAAAGTATCTTCATTAATTACTCATTTACGGTGTTTAAATATCATTACTAAAAGCTTTACTCAGTGACGCCATACATTACTTAATTCGAAAGGTAATTTTTTTTTGAGTAACGTAAAAAATTTCCTAAATAATTTACGCGGAGCTTTTAATTCAGATCAAATCACGAAAGTTCTTAATTTTAATTTATTGCATATACATTGTTCTCTGATGCTTTAATATATTTTATAAAGAATATATGTCAATTAATAAAATGGAATCAGATGACACATTTTTTAACCAATAAGAGACAATCAAGAGCATTAAGTTTACACTCTGTAAGTGTACATTGTGTCCATGTCCAGCAGTTTAAATCTAAAAAAATATGAATTCACATTAGATTCCGAAAAAATATGAGGATCATCTAAATGAAAAATTATCCTATAAATTTATTTTTTTTGAAAATGAAGATATATTCTTTGAATTTTTTAAATAAATTTCCCTAATTAATATTATTAAATATATATACAATCATTTTATACTCTACACCATTTAAACTTGTGCTTTAGCACAGCGAAATTGAAGACAACGCTTTTCTTTATCTGATCAAAATTTCTGTTGAAAATAAATTTAAAAAAATTTGATTCAGAATTTTTACACTCTATTTAGCGGAAGTTTTGATAGCAGAAACTTAATCGCACTCAGTTTTTAAAAGAGCTCCAGGTTCATATTAGCCCCGGTTTGATTGATTGCCCATAAATCGGTCTCTGTTTGGTCTGGTCTTAAAATGCCCAACCAAACAATTTTAAATTTCTGAACCAGAATTCGGTTTCAAAGGAGATATTGAAAAAATTTAATAAGTATTTTTATTTATTGTTATTTAAATTTGGAGTCAAGCCCAAATTTTATGGTGATTTGCTAATTGATATTTATACATGGTTTAAATGAAACTTGTCTTCTCTTAAGAAATAAACTAGGACAGATATTAAATTATTGTTTCTATAATAAAAATGCAATAATTGAATACCGCATCGTTACTTTAAGATGCCAGATACAGTTATATTTGCTGAAATTTATATAGATCAGATGCAATCTTTTGTATCTAAATATTTTATAGTATACTGTAATAGCTATAGTATCATATCTCCTGTATGACATTTTGGGTATGATATGCATATCACAAACATTTAGTTATGATCATAACTATTGTAAATTAATTTGATTTTTACTTTCCTTATCCGCCCTTAAATACACTTAGACGGAAAAAAGGAAAGAAATCCATCTTTCTTTCTAGAGACCTGCAGAGGCACTTGCACGGTCTCACCCGGCCCCGGTATTTTTTTTTTAAATTTTTTGGCCTGCCCCGGATATGATAAAATTAAAAACGGCCCGGCCCATGTACTCCAGCCGGGCTTGCAGTTCTCTGGACGGTAGGGATATAATTATGATTATGTATTGGACTTAGGGCCTCAAAAAATGCTTAAATTTTATATTTCGCAGTTTAATATTAAACGGAAAAAAATTTATTATGATCTTCTTATGGATAAAGAACATGCGATCAAGAAGTGTTGTCCAAACGCGGCTAACTCAATCTATTCGCCAGAAAATATTTTTCTAAGGCTCGAGATTATGGCTAATAGATGCCCAAATCTTTGCGGTGTCTATGAGCAAAATTCTCGGGCTTGGTGCAATATTTTTCTGGCTATATTATCTAGTTCGCCATTCAGATCAAGTTCATAAATAAAATTAAATAACTAATTTTTATGTTTAATTTTTTTTTTACTGCTTCGTTTAAGAAAACAAGCCATTTTTTTTTACCGAGAGAAGCATTTTATAAGCAGCTATATGATAGGAATTAGAGTGATACACAGTGGCAGACCTTTATTTATTTTAATGAATTTTAATTTAAACCATACCTTAAATTTTTAATTTTGATATAAAATGAATTGTAATTTATAATTGTTCTAGAAAATCACGATTACATGTAAATTGGTAATTGGGTACCGTTTTTGAAAAGGAATTAGTAATTATAATTTTTGTAATTATGAATTTGAGTATTTATGCATGCCCATTCCTGCTTTACCTGAATCAAATAGAAATGCATATTATTTTAAAGAGGAAAATGTTCCTCCGTTTAATTATGTCACTTACTTCCATCTTCTGCGACAGTTAATTTTTTTTTCCAAGCTGACCGATGACTCGATGGTAAAACATATTTTAGATTTAGGCCAGACCCATTGACTTCCCGCAATCTGAAAACTTATAGGAATAAAAATGTCAATATTTATTTTATTTGTCAAATTTACTCATTATTATGCATTAATTTAAATATTCAGGAATAATTTTGATAATTTACATTAATATATTTCAGCCTGTGGGCCGTTAATATTTTAATAATCTTCCGCTGGTCTTGTCCTGTAGGAATCTAACAGCAACTTGTTCAATAGTTGCTGAGCGGAGGTCATATTTTATAAACAACCAAGGTTCTAATGTTGGAAAATTCTTAAAGATTCTCGATCTTATATAAAGATGTGTTTTTTCTCTATATGAATCTTGCTAGTTCATCTTCCTAGTCACAAAAAAAATATATCCATCATAAAGATACCTTTTTTTTTTCTTATTAATTTGTATCGTCGAATAAAATACTTTCTTATTCGTGCGAATAATAAAAACGTTATCCGATTTCTCGAATATTCGATTCGAGATCTAAATTCTTCAAAAATCGTTCTTCATTTATCGGTTATCAATATCGAAAAAAATGTGATTTATACAAAAAATTATAACATTAAATTATTTGATAAATATTTTCGAATAATTTTTTTAAAATTTTATGAATAATTAAATGTTTAATAAAGGACAAGAATTTTTACACATGTTGCCCAGTTAATTAATAGAAATTTACCTATTTAATATTTTTCCTAATGTCAACTAAAGCACTTCTGTATTTTGTAAATGGATCATTTAATCAAATTTCAAGCATCATAATGCAAATTAAAAGTCCAAATTCAAATTTCGTAATAATGATTATCGTCTGCTTTATTATTTCAGCCATATTCTTAAATATAACTATGATCTAAATCTTATAGCATCTTGATGAGACAATACAAATTAAGAAATGTAGTGTGATCAACAACATAAAGCAATACCTAGAGTTACGATGCATTCATTAAAAAGTGTAAATCAATGAAAACAGCTGGGGACGCCATCTTGATTACCCATATCGTTATTAAAAATTTTAAACGAGATGCCAATTTATTTCCTATGTCGACGCACACTTTATTCAAGAATTGTCTGATCATCGAGATAATAAGGAAGCAAGAGTTATTAATTTAATATCAGTTTTTTAACATGAGAATAATTATCATATGGATTACCAAAATGGCGGATCCAGCTGATTTGCATTCATCGACGCTTTCAGATGCGTTATTATGAATGCGTTCTAGGTATTATTTTATGTCATTGCTTCCCCCTTATTACTCTTAACTGGATAACATAGGGGTCTCTCGTTAATTTACGCACGATCTCATTAGAATGGGTAGTAGACCAAGTTACGAATGGATGGTTTAAAAAAAAATTTTTTTTCGCGAATTTACTATTTTATTTATAGATTTAGCATGTTAATTACATATTCAATTCTTAAAAAAATACAAAGAAATAGTAGGCATAATCGCAATTTATATTTTTAGATAATTTTAAATCAAAATAATATTACATCGGTCAAAACCGGTCGATTAATTTTTTTAACCGACCTAATCCGTTTTAATATTTTCCTAAAAATTCCCTCCTCAATAATCCGTCAGCTTCAGTATCACTAATATCGTTTTCGTCATAAATTTTGCCTTT